GCTATGGTTCATCTACTCCATGGAATACTACTCAGCTATTAAAAAAAAAAAAAAGAAAGAAAGAAATGCATTTCTTTGTGGCCAAATGAGCCAATTGGAAACCATTATGCTAACGGAAATGAGCCAATCCCAACAGGTTAGATACCACATGTTTGCCTTAATTTAAGATGAAATGATGTCAATCCTAATAGTCTCTGTAAATTGTAATATTATTACACCCTCAGTCTGTACCACATGCAATAAGCTATTGTGATGTAACCAATGAACCAATAATCAATGAGAGGCAGACTGCTTATGATCTACATCAAAGAACTGAAAAGCCTGATATGCTTTTAATACCCTATGTTATTCCTCAATGGGTCAGGAGAGCAGAGAAATCTTATAACTTCTTAGAGGGTGTGAGGAAGATATTAAGTATAACCTATCAAGATTGTAACAGGTAACTTACAGACAGCAGACTCGAATCTGTATTAGACATTAGCAAAAACTATAAAGACACACGATCCAAGAGCAATCCTGACAGCCTCATAACAGGAGGTCATATGCACAGAACAGGAGGGGACCCCAGAGTGGAACAGAGCAGGAGGCGGCTTAAATCCTAACCCTGGAGACTCCTGGTATCTCACCAAGAACTATCAGAACGGGCACCAAGGTTTATATACAAACTGCCAAGGAGATCACAGGGAATTGGAGTGCCCTGCAGGCTGAGAACTCTGAGGTCAACCATTCCCTATTGGATCTTCCACACAGGATGGAAGAAGCCCAGATCCTTCCTCAAGGGATCCAATATCATTGCAACAACAGCCAGGAGCCCTAAGTGGTCCTCAGAACAAAAGAACAATAAAATTCCTTCAGGACTTGGCAGAAGAGCTTTCTCTGATCCTTAATTCCAACTTTGGCTCTCCACCCTCTCTTGCAATGACCATCAGGGTCACTCTGGAGCTCCCCCAAAACATTAGATCAGATAGACAGAGACAAATAAGGAAAGCTTAGAACAGACAGGAAAAAGTCAGTTTGGATTCCCATATACCTTACTAGGTAGGACACAAAGATAGTTACTTTGCACTGATGAATTGAAGATTTCTGTGCACAGCCTTCCTAAAACTGTTCTGCTCCTCAATCGTTAACAAATGGTTTGTTAGAGTTGTAAGCCTGTTTGGACTATCCTAAAATTCGCGAAGTTGAGTAAAAATCACGCTTGAATACTAAAAGCTGCTAAATATAAAAATGAAAATAAACACAAGACAGCTGAATAATACCCTATAACCATTTTAAGGTTTATCGCAGTCAGATGTGTATAAACTGAAATTGAGATGCCAATGACTTAGTTGCAGGATGTGGTTAAGAACTTGCATTTTCTAACATATTGGTCACTCAATACCATGTCAATTAACTTCATGATGTTGTAAATTTCCATGTTTCTTCCTGTTGTTGAAGTTGTGTAGTGGCTTTTCATTATAGGGGATGATATTCTGCCAGTGTTACTTTCAGAGCAAGGATGGTCTTCCAATGAAATTGTTGAATTTATCTGGACAATAAGATGCTGGACTCTCTGCATGGTCCATGCCCACAATGAAGGAATCACGACTGATTATGAATTGTACTACTCTAACAATATGGAGAAATTCAACATGGGGAGAGGGGTTGGGAGGGGTTGGGGGAATCCCAGAGTCTATGAAACTGTATCATAAAATGAAACAATTAAAAAAATGTGCAAAGGAAATGAGCTGACATTTTCCAAAAGAACAAATTCAAGTTGGCTTATATATATATATATATGAAAAATGCTCAGGCTCCCTACTTATCAAGAAAATACAAATAAAACTACATTAAGGTTCTACCTAACTCCAGTGAGAGTGCCCTACTTTCAGAACTTTACTAACAATACCTACTGGCAAGAATGTGGGGGAATGAATATCCTAATTCACTGTTGGTGAGCGTGTAGGCCAGTGCAGCCTATGGAAGTGAGTAAGGAGAATGCTAAGACAATTGAAAATTGATCTACTGTATGACCCAGCTATCCCACTCTGGGAATACATTCAAATGAAGTGAAATCTGCATATGAAAAAGTGAGCTGCAACCTTATATTTATAACAGCACAACCCTCAACAGTGAAGACATGGAAACAACCCAGAAACCTGTAGTAGATAAAGAAATTGTGGTACATCTACACCAGGGAATACTACTCAGTCATTTAAAAAAATGAAATTCTTTCATATGCAGCAAAAGGGCCCCAGCTGGAGACCATTATTCTCAGTGAAATAAGCTAATCTCTAAAGGAAAAATATCATATGCTGTTTCTGATATAAGGCAAACTTCATACAAAATACAAACTGAAGAGATCCACAGATGGACACATATACACATACATTTTCATAGCTGAACTGTAAATGGAAACTAGCATACCAGGAAGTGCAGCTATGACGCAGTGGACATCTCTACTCCTGAATAAAAGGAGGACTCCTGATGAAACTGCTAGGTATACCTTGACAATATGATACTGCTCCTTTTTTTTTTTTAACCATTTCCTGTACTTACAATGACATGGCATTGATACACTTGAATGGCAGAATGTTGGACTTGTGACTGTTGCTGAAGGACTACATTATTGTCATAATATTGGGGGAAAGAGTTGATGAGGGAGAATGGGGAGGAAGGAAGGGGAGGTGGGAGGGAATTACTATACCTACAAAATCATATCATGGAAAATAATATTAATCAACTAGTTACAGGAAAATAATGGAAAATACAATGAAAACAGGCCCTCAGGGGAAATCATACAGTAACAATACTTACTATGTTCAGGTATTTAAACAGTAATTTGAAACAGACTATGTGTCTGATTGTGGTCTTTTCAAATATAGCATGGGATTAGCACATGGTTAGTACAGAGCTAGTACTGTGGCATCGTGGGTAAAACTGCTCCGTGAGATGCTGGTATCCTACATATGCATTAATTCAAGTCTCAGTTGTTCCACCTCCTACCCATTTCCTTGCTAATCTGCCCAGGAAAAACAGCAAAAGATGGTCCAAATGCTTGGGCTCCTGCACCCATGTGGGAGACTTTGCAAAAGTTCCTGGTTCCTGATTTGGGCTTGGCAGAGCCCTGCCCATTGTGGCCATCTGTGAAGTGAGCCAGGAGATGGAGGACTCTTTCTCTCTCTTTCTCTCTCTGACTCTACTCATTCTCTACTGACTCCTTCCCTTTGTAACTTTCCTTTAAGCAAGTAAATCTTAAACCAATAGTCCTAATTTATAGACAAGAATCATAAAGTGTGTGTTACATAAGCCAGATAATTTTTATTCTTGATTTCTTTAAACAATTTTTCTTTGCCTTTAGCCAAAGGTAAACCCTAACTCTTACGGAAATTCTTGAACTTCTTGTTTTGTTTCTGTTTTTGCTTTACTGGTTCTATTCCCCTGATGCTGATAAACTTCAAACTCCTTGGTCTTTGCATCTTGGAAGTATGTATTGCTTTATTTTTAGAATTTATGCATATTCCAGACAGCCAGACTTCCGTTTGGCTCAAAAAGAACATTCCTTGGCCACTGCAGGGGTTTACTGTCGCTAATTCGAATCTATGATTTTTAAATGAACTTTAGGGAACTCTCAGGAAAGCAGTGACAACAGTATTGCTCTAGAAAACACAACCATTAAACATTGTGTATTGCCTTTAAATTTATCTAATGGGTCACTGGCCTTTTACTGTTCCTAGTACCATATACATATGTGTATGTGTAAATCTATTTTCTTTTGTCCTTCCTCACATTACCAAATTCCATTTCTGTAATTTTTCTGTGCATTTTCAGGATTACATTTTAATATGGAGAATTCTATAAGTGATTTTGAAGTAATTAAAACAAAATAACACATTAATGTAAAACATCTGTGGTAAAGCTAGCTTTTATAAGTCATTAATGTTGACGTGAGCTGAAATTAAACTCCTTTCTCTTAATTTCTCCTCTCTCTTAATTTCCACTTTGGAAATGTGTTCCTGTATCCCAGAAATCATAAATAATAAAATAAGAATGAGTGGTACTCTCTGCCACAATCAGAATGCTTACAAGTAAAATACCAGGTATTAGCTATAATATGAAACAAAATGTTTTGTTTCAGCTTCAATTTGCTCAACATTCTTGCAGATACCTCCACTTTGATGACCCAAACATATAACTTAAACAAAATAAAATTAAATGAATCTCAGCTCTTCTCAGGTTAATCCTCTTATCCATCCTGGTCTTCTTTTCCCCACATGTTCTTTGCCTAAGCACAAATTGCAAAACACACGTTGGCGACAAGCATAAGAAACACAGTCAGCCTGCTGACAAAGACCTCTAGATTTTTACTACAGCCTCTGTCACTTTTGATTATGTGACCTTGGACAAGTCACTTAACAGCAATGGGACTTGAAGTTTTCATCTGCAAAATACACTTTGCGTATTGGGGTGCTGCATAGAATAAGTGAAATAAGAACAGTAGCTATGTGATGTGAGCACCACTCACATCCAGTTTTAAGGTTCTGTTGTTTCTGAATCTTGGTGCTTGAACTCGCCTCTGTATTTCTAATGCCTGGAAAAAGTCTCTGACATTACAATGCACACAATGTGAAACAATCACATTTGACAAGATCAAGCTGTCCTTCTAATGACACAGACTAATTTACTCACTTAGTTTTCTGGGCAGCCTTTTTCTTCAAAATCATTACTGGAAGCTTAAAATCAGTCCTGGCAATTATTGAGAACAATATATAGAACTCAAGAAAAGCTTTTCTTTAAAAATTCAGAATTGCAATTACCATCTGCACTAGTAGAATTTTATCATAAATATTTTATAAACTAAGAATATTTGAAGCAGTAATTTAGTATATTGTAGCTCACACCCATTAAAAGTAACACCATATGACAAAGCTTACTTTATAGTATGCTGTATAATATAAGATAAACATAAAATAATGCCTTAAAACCTTAAGCTGAAAATTAGGAGTAATCATGCTAGTTACATTTTTGTTTTTTTGATGTTGCTTGACTTCTTTTTTCTAGTCTTTGACTGTGACTTAGCTGTGGGTGTAGCAAGAGCCTCTTCAAATTCCATCCGAAAATCAAATGTCAGGGGGAGAACCAATACCTTTTTTCTTCCTTCAGTCTGAAGCCGGTTTTTCTGCAGCAAAGTTACAGAAAGGAAAAAAAATAATAAAGGCTTTTTTTTTCCTTTTCCACATTCTCTCTTTTTCCTTCCTATATCTGGTGGGAAGGAGAGAAGCCACACCCAGCCTCCCAAATGTCTCTGCACCCTGGGATGGAGGACAGCAAATCTACACCACAGCAGGGTCACCGATGTGGGACATGCTATGACAGTCTTGCTCAAGAGATTTTGATAGTTTCACAGTTCTGAATGACTGCCACTCCAATCACTCCAATTTCTCCAGAATCCACTGATTGACATAGTCTACCTTAAAGTCTCCATTTGCCCAGACAGTCACTGCCAACACTTGCCAGGGGTAATTGATCAATTTGTTCTGTCCTCCATCCTCTCTTGCGGTACCAGATGTCCTCTGCAGACTCCAGTGTACTGCCACATCCTCCATGTGCACCTGGATATGTTGTCCACTGCTCTGTCTAAACCACCAAGGAGGCCCAGTTCTGACACATGAACTCCATGGTCAGACTATGGAACCTGCAGTTTTCTCCATGGCTGGGTTTCTGAGTCCAGCAATTCGCTTGGGAGAATCCTCATAAAAACTGGTGCTCAGATTCGCTAGTGGGTGATATAAACTGGCCCAGCCTGGTTCGCTCCAAACCTATACTAAATGTGGGCTGGTGGGTCCTGTTCCCTGGTCTGGTCCGGGATGCTCCCTAACATGGTTCTTGTGCTCACCTGCAGGGACTGTGTCCTGACAGAGGAGTTCCCCAAGCTGCTCTATCAGAACTTTACCCATTGCCAGATCTTGGTCCCATCAGTGGGTTCATGGGCCAGTCCTATTTAGTTCACTTCCTGTCCTAGCAGGATCAGTAGCCTTTTCTGGCTGGCCTTCACCCATTCTGGTTTTTACTGTTGGGTAAAAATAAGCTTGGTCCTACGCAGCCTGGTCCACACCCAGACACAACAGAGGCAGAGACCTAGTCTAGCTCATCCTACACTTACCCTCATTCTCATGTGCACGAGTGGGTGCTAGAGTCTAGCCCAGTCTGGTACACTCTAGTGCCCAGCTGAGGGGCACTGCAGCCATGCCCACACTAGAGAGCAGCACCAATTCTGGCTTCCATACTCACCAGTGAAACCCACAATCCACCTAGGGTATCCCCTTAGCTCCCCAACTAGGCCTGTTCCCAGCCTGTGCATGCCAGTGGTTGCTCTGACCAGCTTGGCAAAGTCCCTCACCTGTCTTTGTCTTTGGATGCTGTAGCCTGGCCTGACCTGGCCTGTCCCCAGTCCCAACTCTCATTGACAGGTGCTGCAATCTGGCTTCATTCAGTCTTCTCCCATCCCTGGCTCATGAAAAATGGTAGGTGTGACAGCCTAGCCAAGCATGCCCTGTGCTCCAGTCTGGTTTCTGTTCTTGCTGGTGTGCTAAAGTTTGCTCAGCCCTGCCTGATCCACTCCCTGCCAAAAACAATCCACACATTAGCCAACAGTTGGAGATACCTTGCCTAGCCTGCCTAACTGCCAGGCCTGAACCACATGTTCACCAGCCAGAGCTATGACCCACTCTGAGAGTTTCCCAAGTTTACTCACTCAGCCCACTCCCAGACCCAGATTTCACGCATGCCAGTGGGTGCTAGGCCCTTGCCCAGCATAGCCTGCCCCTCCACCTTGGCCTTATATGAGCTGATGAATACTGTGGTCTGGCCTGCCCCACACCCTGTTTTAGGATGCACATGTGTGTGCTGCAACCTGTATCTGCCCAGACTGTTCTCGGTCCCTGCACCAGTGAGTGATGGCAGGTTCCATGGTCACCCCTAGCTCAGCTCATCACTGCTACAACACTTAAACTAACCAGCAGGACTTGTATTTCCACAGGGTTTGGCCTACAAATACCCCAAAGAATCTATTCCTGGACCTGATTCTCTCAAGTGCTGGTTAGTATCATGGCCCTGCCTAATATGATCCATCCCCTGTTCCGACATTCAGTCAGGTACTAGGGTCCAGTCCTGCTAGTCAGGCCTTAAGCCCTAGCTTTTGTGTGGACTGGTATGTAGTGGTCAGCAATGTTCCATGCTAACAAGCCCAACTCTGGACTCCCATGTGGGCTGGTATATGAGTCTGACTCATAAAGGTCTTCCCGTCTCTCCTATCCAAACCACCAGGTCTCAGTTCCCTCTCTTACCTGTAAGTGCAGTGGCCCTGTCATTAACTGTCCCTCAGGATTCATTCCTTATCTACATGTACAGTGGCCTTGTGCATAAATGTCTCTAGGCAGTAATTCCAGATCCCCTAAGACCCCAGAGCTGGCCACCGGGTGGCCAGTGGGCAAAGCCTGGCTCCATTGTCAATCTGGCACCCTCAAGTCCAGGATTCACCCACCACTTAGCTATAGTGGGCAGGGAGTTAGGAACCCCATCAGGAAGCCTGGTCCGGCACGAGTTCTCCCAGCCACAGGCATGTGGCTGAAAGATTCAGATATCTGCACCTCTGAGCAGACTTAATTGGATTCTGCGCACTAACATTGGGTAAAGGCTTTTTATACAAGAAGAACAACAACAAAAATCAGAGCGGGAAGATTTGAAAAGGTCGTCCCAAGCTGGCCAGGAATGGAGTAAAGAAATCCGAGTGTAGAATAAAAGAATAAGGTAGAAAAATTTCTTGATGAAGAAATTTGTGTGGTGGGAGGTGGGGGTGGGGTGGCTTTGTGTCACAACATTTAACCTGCCACTTGTGATCATAATATTCCAAATTAGAGGGCTGGTTCTGATCCAACTCCCTGGTATTGTTCCTGGGAAGAAGCAGGTGATGGTTCAAGTACCTTGGTCCTTACCAACCATTTGGGAATCCAGATGGGGTTCCTGGATCTTGGCTTCAGTCTATCTCAGCCCTGGCTGTGCAGGTAATTTGGGGAGTAAACCATACAAGATCTCCCCTCACCTTTCTTTCACACACATAGCCTTTCAAATAAATATTTTAAAAAATTGTGCTAGTAAAAGGAAAACAAAGGCTAATATATGAGACAATGCGAGTTAACGTTTTCTAAGGATATTTTAGAAATCTTTGAGTTGTTTTGCTCACATCATGAGTTCAGAAGCCTGGGAAAGCGGAACTCTTTCCTGACATTTCATTACACTTTGCAGCAAGTAATCCAGCATTGCCCGAGGTTTTATTTATTTGCACTCAACAGGCAAAGCACTGTGGGATTGCAGCCATAATTTCAGTCAGCCCATGTGTTACTTTTACAGGTGGCAGACCTTGTTAGAATCCAAATGACACTGGTTTTACAGGCATGAATAATACAAGAGCTATGGGAGCATAACAGGTTTCTTTGAGGTTTCAAAAATTAATAAATAAATAGATGGATGATAGATAGGTAGGTTTTATATATACATATGCCTAGCCCTGGACTCTGAGCTTCCAAAACGGTGATGCAATAGAAACCTGTTTCCTTCACAAGCTGCTTCTATTATTATGAGGAAAAACTACTATCTCCTGGTTTGAAAACTCACATTTTAAGAAAAGACCTGAGACAACAGAGACAACCGGTGGTAAGCCTACTAGAACGCTGGCAGTCATCTCCCTACAACCTGCTCCTCTTCCTGTAGGCACACATATGGTGACTATCACACTAAACTTCGTGTGAGTTAGAAATAGAATTGAGAAAATATTTATACAGATGGTCTAAAGAGGAGAAAGGAAAGAGTTAAAGTATGGTTTCAGGAATTGATTTAAGGTTTTTCTCCAAAATGTCTCCTAGCAAAGTGCAGAGTAATAAAGAGACGAAAAAACATTTGAAAGCAAAATCTGCAATGAAAGGGTAAGTGCTAGGAGAATTAACCTCCTGCTGTTAGAATCAGGAGTGGAGAAAGTAGATGAAAATTACTGTCTCCGGGCATTAGATAAAGAGATCAGGACTGGATCCTGCATAGAGGGAACCAAATGGGATAAACAGTTCAGCAGCTAGCTTATTTCCCAGAGGTAGACTGGGCTAAGGGTTAAGGAGGGGAATCCTAATGGGTCTGCCCTAACTGAAACCAAACCCTGTGGTTTTGATTTTGTTGAAGTTAAGATGGCTTAGGAATCATTCCTGAGCATTCAGCAGAGAGAAATGAGTGTTAATAGCAAAATCCCCAAAACAATCTAAATGTCCTCCAGTGAATGAGTTATTGAAACTCTGGACATCCATAAGATGCTATTCAGCAATAAACTTTATATCTCATTTATAATAGTGCTATCGATATGGTGCAAAACTGTGATGAACTTCAAGACCCATTTCCATGGTGAAAAAGCCAATCCTCAAATTTTACAGTGAATGATCTCATTCACATAACGATCTCAAAATACTACAGGCAGAAAACCAGCCAGTGAGTACTGTGGGCAGAGGGAGGATAGGGTGTGCATGAACACAAAGAGGTTGGGTGGTGAGAGTCTTACATGGATCGCAAACTGCTGGAATGTCTTACACCACTTTTACAACATCTTGTGAGCTATAATTAGAAAGTCCAAAATCATCAAAATTATGTATTTTGTCAATAAATTACAATTTGTAAAAAAAAGTTTAAATTTACAATAAGGTTTACCTTTAGCAAAAAAAATGTACTGTCTCACCTAGTTAAAAAAGAGATAATCTATTTCCAATTTGTGATCACATTTGTGCACATGCATTTGCATTTTGATTACTGTATGTAAAGATAAATGCATGTATATATGCATATACCTATAGTTCTTATAAGAAAATGAAAGATGTGAATAAATAAACCCCAACAGTTTAAATTTGCCAGCCCCAGAAGAATGAGTTAGAGGGAAAAAGCAAACATTAATAGTTTTCTATAATACAACTTTTCTTTATGTACAATATTCTTCATCTATTTCTATGTGTTACTGAAATTATTTCTAAAACTATGTTTTAATTTTATAGTGTAAAGGACCTCGGGCACTAGTCTTGAAGCTAAAGTCCTCGATTTGCGTGCACTGGGATCCCATATGGGTGCTGGTTCTAATCCCAGCAGCTCCATTTCCCATCCAGTTCCCTGCTTCTGGCCTGGGAAAGCAGTCCAGGATGGCCCAAAGCCTTGAGCCCCTGCACCTGTGTGGGAGACCTGGAAGAGGCTCCTGGCTTTGGATTGGCTCAGCTCCTGCCATGGTGGTCACTTGTGGAGTGAATCTTCAGACTGAAGAGTTTCCTCTCTGTCTCTCCTTCTCTACATGTATCTGACTTTACAATAAAAATAACATTGAAAAAAAAGAATTTTATAGTGTAAAAATAAAAAGGCTTCCAAAATTGTGATCCAGTAGAAACTTGCTTTTACCTCTTTAAAAATGTATAGAGAACCAGGGTTAAGTTGCTCAATAGGCCCCAAATTTCATTTTAGGAAACTATGGTCTTAAAACTTTATGTTGAATTTAATGCAACCTGTTTTGAAATTGCTTTGATCATATCATGGAATTTAAAAAAAACCCTTTGATTCATTTCTACCAGGTTTTTAATGAATGGTTTGTTTATTTGAAAGGAAAAGCTGCAGAAAATGAAGTAAAAATAGATCTTTCATCTGCTGGTTCATGCCCCAAATGACTACACTAGCCACAGCTGAATTGACCCAAGAGCCAGGAACTTCTTCTGGGTCTCCCACGTAGGTGTAGGGTCCCAAGGATGTAGGCCAGCCTTTGCTGCTTTCCCAGGCCGTAAGCAAATAGCTGGATCAAAGTGGAGCTGTCAGGACTAGAAAGGGCACATTTATGGGATACCAGCACCACAATGTGGAGGATTAACCTGCTACAGCACCACACCAGTTCCATTACTCTTTCAACTAACATAATTAGTGCAAATTAGTTTACATATTCAAATTTACACATCATTACTAAAAAGTGAAATTATTCTTATTTGAAATGTTAACTTTGTAATTTTTTAAATCAAAGTTAAATTTTTGCTTTACAAACCTTTGCTCTTTGGTCCAAGAGTATCTTTTCTTGCTTATCCAGGACATCTAGTTGCTCTAAGACTTTTTCTGCCATCATCAATCAACAATTCCTAATTTAAAAAAAGAAGAAATTCCCGATCAATTCAAAGTTATATGAATTATTTAGGCATAAGTTAAATAAGACTCAACTTTAAGTCACTATTTTGGCCAAATAATACAGTTGCGTTCATTCTGGAATAATCATAGAATTGTAAATTGTATCAGCTTTTTAAAAAGATTTATTTATTTTTATTGGAAAGGTAGATACACAGATAGAAGGAAAAACAGAAGGGAAAATCTTTTATCCTTTGGTTCACTCCCCAAGTGGTTGCAATGGCCAGGGCTGCGCTGATCCAAAGCCAGGAGTCAGGAGCTTCCTCTAAGTCTCCCATGTGGGTACAGATTCCCAAGGTTTTGGGCCATCCTTGACTGCTTTCCCAGGCCACAGTCAGGAAGCCGGATGGGAAGTGGGATAGCCAGGACATATGGGATCCAGCACTTGCAAGGTGAAGACTTGAGCCACTAGACTACTGCGCCAGAGCATGTACCGATATTTTTCCAATAGAAAGTCATATAGGGTTGGAACTGCCAGGTAGTTAGGTAACAAGAGGTTATCATAGCAGAGGAAGGAGGGCAGAGCAAATTGGTCAACTACTCCAGCCAAGTATTGACAAAAATTATCTAAACGAGTAGAGACTCTAAGGTAGACTATGTTAGCCAATGGACCTTGGAAAGATTTCCTTATCCTCCCATTAGCAAGACTGACAGCATATCAGAACTATCAAAACCACTTGAGCAGAACCCTCAGAGCATGCTCCATAGCGGGGACCCTGGGACAACATCAGGTGGGTACTGCGGTGGTTGGAGGCTGTGTGAGGCTATCTCCCATCTCCTTCCTTTCCCCAGATATAGAAAGAAGAAAAAAACTATTTTTTTGGAAACAATTGTCTCACCCACTTTGCCCTAATGCTAGACCTTTCCCACCCTAATCAACTGTGTAAACATCATCAACAATACAATTTATATTAAAAAAAGAATTGCTTAATTTAAAATAAAAATCACCATTTAAGAATTTGATGTGACTAATTCTTGAAGTAGGGGACATATGGCTTAATCTGTATCTCTTCTCTTTGTTATAATTCTAAAGAAACAAATGCAAAGACTTCACATTTATATAGTTAATTGCATTCAAAATAGATTGGTCATTGATCCAAGGCTATTAATACAGCAGCTAGCAGGCAATTAATCACGCAGAAGGCTGATTGGATCCTGAGAGATTTTTCAGTTAATTAATATCTAATTAATCCTGTAGTCTACTTGTTTAATATCAATTTGAAAAGTCCCTTTTGAGGTCAAGTAATGAATGTTATGCTCGGGGAACTCTATGTTAGACATGAGGAACTTATTTGCCTTATTGTCATTTTAGGTATGAAAGTTGAAGGCCACAAAATAACTTACTCCTGCAAGACCTACTCTAATTCCTTCCAAGGGCACTGCAACCCAATGATATACTTTCCTTACACCAACAACTGAGTTCCCTAGGTATCACATACACTTTCAGACGTATGTGCTGCCAGAGCATTTGTCTTCAATGGTAGGTGAAAATTGGACAAAACGTGACCAATCTGGGTTTTCCAGGAGTTCTGCTAGAAAACTGATGATATATGAAATTAATGACCCAACCTGAATAGTTTTGGCACTGGAAGACCTGTGCTGCCCCTTTCGGAAGTTGTAATTCACCAACATATTGGATTCCCTAGGTATAATATACACATCCAGGCATATGTACTGTCAGAGCAGTTGTTTTCAATGTCATCCAACCAAAAGCAACTAATTTTTATTATTGTATTAACATCTCTATGATTCTAGCCTACACACCTTGGAGTCACAGTGATGTTTGATCTTCATTATACCTGCAGAAGGAACTGGAAAACTTCAAAGGAACATAGATCCCCATTGCCCTCTTAGTCAGAAACTATGGAAGTGAAGATTAGCAGCTATCACTGATACTAAAGTTTGCTCACCACTGTCCTCAAGTTGTTTTCCTCTCTCACCTAAATGATCATACATGATCATTTGAGCTTGTACGTGTTATAGCTGAAATATATTTTTAGCTCCTTTGTGATCCATTCACATGGCTACTGCCTTAATTTAGGATCAATAACTTGATTGCCTGGATGATTACAATAGTTTCAGCACCTATTCATGCATTTAACCCATTTTATCCTTCATTTGTGCCATCTATTCCTTGTGTCTGCCTGAATCCTGTTAGAATGTTGACCTAAGCAGAGCAGAAGCAACTCTGTGATGAAGAGTTTATTGATGACCCAGTGTGCAGATGCTGACACTTGCCAGAGGGAAGCCACTGCCTTGTGGCCTGGGGCAGGCACTGACACTACCTTACCCTGTTACCCCCGTCTACCACATATAAAATGTACGGAATGGCAGTGCTGCATACACTAGTGACCGCTTCCCTCATGTGGTCACCCTCTGTGTGGAAGTGGTCCTGGGCAGTCTCCAGTTGACAATAAAATCTTTTGCCTGGACTAGATCTTCTCTAAATGTGTCCAAGTTCCCAAGAGCCTCCAAGCGTAACAAATTCTGGTTTCGAAGAAAAATAAAATACCATGGCTCCCTGCTTAAAGCTTCAACTCCTTCCAACCACCTTTAGAACAAATGTCAAGGTCCCTCACTCATTACTCATTACATGAAGTTCATGGTTTGGCATCTAATTATATCCTTAACTTCACTGTCATTTGCTCATGCACACTTGATACCTCAGTTATAGTAAACAACTTGCATTGTATTTATTTCTTACCTCGCTTTTGCTAGTCCCTCTACCTGTAAAGCCATTTTTATATTCGTTGTACTCCCAAATCCTGGTCATCCCAGATACAAGCAACACCTCTACTAGGAAGCTTTCCAAGATATACTATGATTTACATGCCAATCATCCGTTCTCACACAAAATCTTACATAGAAAATTATCCTAGCACTTGTCATATTCTACTAAGACATTTTGTGTTCAAAACTTGTTTCCTTTGCGTACGATATTTTCCTTGGAGGTAGAAACTGTGCATAATTGTCTGATTCTTTTTTTTTTTTTGCAATTCTGATATCTAACAACTTGAATAAATTAGTCAATTATCAGCCACAAAGGCAATGGACAAGTGTAAGTGCTATGGATTTTTAACCTACATTTAGGCTGGTACTTTTACTTTTAAAAACTAGTTTCAGTGTTTTTTAAGACTTTATTTTATTTGAAAGGCTAAGTAACAGAGCGAGAGACAGAGAGATCTTCCATCTGCTGGTTCACAGCCCAGATGGCCAAATTGGTCTAAACTGAGCCAGGAGCCAGCTTCTTCCAGATTTCCTGCATGCATGCAGAGGTCCAAGGATTTGTTCCATCTTCTGCTGCTTTCTCAGGGCATAACGAAGAAGCTGGATCAGAAGTAGAGCAGCCGGGACATTAACTGGTTCATGTGTGGGATGCTGACACTATGGGCAGAGGCTTATCCTACTTTGTCAAGGCGCCAACCCCTTAGGCTGCTACTTTTAGTTTATATTTAATATGTACAGAACTTGGACATTCTTTTAGATCAAGGGGCAAAATAGTTTATTGCTTAACAGCAAAAACCGTGGAGTTAATCTCTCTGGATCAGAATCCCTAGCTTTGTCACTTAGCTACCAGCCACGTGGTTATGTACAAGTTGCTTAACCTTTCTCTGTTGTTCACCTGTAACGTGGAAACATGGAGGTGCTTTGAGTTTTAACTGTATCCATATAAGTGATTTGCAAATGTTAGCAAATAAAATTACTTCGTCTTCAGTAAAAATGCACTTACCAGTTAGAGATGTGTGGGATTTTCTTATTATAAACGCTGTAAAATTCACTCCTTTCATTTGCATGTGTTTTTTTTTCCCTACCATACCTGCTGCCATATGATCATCAGTGGTCTCCATATGTCTAACTTCCTACTTGCTTCCTTCAAAATACATTTCTACAATTATATTTCAGAAGTTTCCCACTTTGGAACTTGTGAAACAATGAGAATGTATTCAGCAATTCAGGATCTTCTATTTTATTTTGGGAATTAGCTGTATTATGTACATTTGATTATGGCTTCTTCTCCTTCTCTGAGTTCATAACTTTACTTCTGAATTTTCTATCAGATGCGTTTGCTGAGCTCCATGAACCGCACTAAAACCCGTAGTCTGTAGGAGCCTGATGGTAGACATATTCTGGAATAGACAGCAGCTCCTTAGGGAGATTGTTGTGAGACGAAGCATAATGTCTTCACACTGGAGTCTCAACAAAAAAACAAATCTTTTTGGTCTTCAAAAAACCCAATATCTCCCCCCTGCCAATCCACTGATATGTTAACTAGAGGCAGGAGTAGGAGAGATTATTTTACTTACTTAGTAGATACATGTATTTCTGAAACATCTTTCCTTTTTATTCCCGGGAGTCAGTATTGTGGCACTGTGAGTTCAGTCTCCTCCCGAGATACCAGCATCTCATGTTGATGGGCTGTTTGAGTCCCAGGAATCCTGCTTCCAATCCAGCTCCCTGCTAATGAGCATGGGAAAGCAGGCACAGATAGTCCAAGCTCCTGGACCCTGCCACCATCTGGGAGTGTTAGGGACTTTTACCTTGGAACTGGTCCAACCTCAACAGTTGGGAACATTAAGGAGTGAACTAACAAGTGAAAGATCCCCATATCCTCTCCCTTCCTCTCTTTCTCTCTCCCTCACCCCACTTCGTTAACTCTGCCTTTCAAGTAAATATCTTTTATTTTTTAAATACCCATTTTGTTTCAGAATAGTTTTAACTTTATAATACAAAAACTGTGAAGCAGTACAGAGTTCCCATATACCCACACACAGCTCCCACTACACATAACATCTTTTGCCACTATGATACATTTGTCACAGGCTATAGTCCCCACTGAGCATCCTCTACTATTAACATCTCGTGTGAGTGTATTTATCACCACGAACATACCACACTCAGCTTCCTCAATTTTTTTCTGATCCTTCCAGCACTTCCAATCCTCCCAGCCCCGTCAGAAGCACTCCCATCAATGCTTACAGTTTGGAAGAGATGCGGCCATCTGGAATGTTGGGGTTCTTGTGTCACAGAAGCCTGCCTTGGAATCTTGGGTTTTAGAATGGCTCACCCATCTCTCATGTGACTCCATCAACTGTTGGGCAGCAGTAACACAGAAGACAAGGTCATTCTACTGCTTGTTTTCATTTCTAATGATGTTCCTCTCCTACAGAACTTCAGCTTTTAACCCTCACCTGCCCTGGGTTATGGTTCAATTCTCCCTGCACTAACCTGCCAGCCCCTAACCTCCCTCAGCCCTGGGCTATGCCACCAGAACTGTCTCAAACAAAACACTAATCAGGTTCAACTCAAGAGCCCAGCAACCTTGGTTTGCTCCCTATTACAGAACAACACCCAATCTCTGCAGATGGTGTGTGAGACACCAAAGAAAACAGTCCAGGGTCTGGCATGGTTCACCTTTCTCATTTATCCACCACATGGTTTCCTCTTCCATATCTGCCAATCAAATGCTTGAGATGAGTCCTCCTTCCAATAATGTCCTTCATTTATGTTTTCCCTTCCACTCGAAATATTCTCTCCTCGTGTCTTCCCAAAGCCTCTTCTTTATCAAGCCCTGCTGCAGACATGATTGTTAAAAAAAAGAATTTTTATTTAAAGGGTTGAATAACAAAGATGGGTGAGGGAAAGCAAAGAGATCTGCTGGTTCACTCCCCAAACTGTCACAATGGTTAGAGCTGGGCCAGTCTGAAGCCTGGAGCCTGGAGTTTCCTCTGGACTTCCCACATGGGTACATGGGCTCAAGCACTTGGGACATCTACTACTGCTTTCCCAGACATACAACAGGGAGCTGAATTGGAAGTGGAGCAGCTGGGACATGAACCTGTGCCCATATGGGATGCTGCTGCAACATGCAGTGACTTAACCTACACCATGGCTCCACCCCAAAGACTGTTTCTTATGTGAAATTTTTCTTGTTTGTTTGTGACAACATCTTTTCTTTGTGTGTTCTTACTGTACTTTATCACTTACCTCCTCACCTCCCACCCTGGGAATCTCAGCACCAGGCAAAGTTACATCTTCCTGAGAACTAGATTACTCCAATGATTTACTGGAGGATGAAATATGAAGTTGAGTGAATTATAAAATGTGGCACTTGTCAAATCTGTAGCAACATGATGGGCTTGTGAAAATTCACAAAAGATACTCATTGTGAGACAGGAGAGGAGAACAGAGGGGAGGGGAAGGAACTTGAGGGGTAGAGAAGGGACACCCCAGCGCCAACTAAGCTGTAGCAGAAAATAATTTTAAAAAAAGGAAACTTGGATTAATATCCTTAGTTAATAGCTTGGTAATGACAGTCTTTTTAGTGAAAAAGTATACAATGTTTTAGAGAACCCACCAATTAGACCAGCCATAAATTCCCATCAATTAGACCAGAATAAATTCCCAGTCTCAGTAAATCATCCACAGGCATCAGTGCAAAGCTTTCCATATGCAAGAGGTCTGCATCAGCGTTAGCATGTCTCAGGCTGAGCCTCTGCTGCAATAGCAAGGTAGAGCTTTAGAAAAAGTTGCTATTAAGAGCACTATTTCATTTTAAGGGCACCTTTGGGATTGAAAACAAAAGCAAGCAAGCAACAACAAACTCTTTAGATGTTTTAAACATCTCCTATTAAACAGAGAATTCAGGACAGTATGAGAGTCTCACAACTCACAAACTAAAATGTTAGATTGAATAGGAACCTAGAAAATAGAGGCTTAATATAAGATTTACTTATGAAGCTTTATCAGTTCCAAACTTTATAAAAGTCAAGGCCCAATCCTGTGACTGGTTGAGTCCACCAAGTACTGTTTTGGGGCCACAGTTAGCAGTCATTTTGTGTAAGTGATGATTTTTACTCATGATAACTGGCTGACTTACTCCACTTTGCATTCTAAGCACCAGACACGAGGGAATCCTTTGGTCTTTCACATCCAAAGGTAGTCAATTTGTTCTGCTTTCCATTCTCAGCAAACCAGTGGTGGGTGTCGCGGCCCAGTCCAGCCCTGCCCAACACACACTCACCCCTCACATACCACAGGAAGAGCTGCAGCCCAGTCAGAGCAACCTCCAATAACCCCAATGGACTACGCCCCAGATCTGATTCCTGTGCCTGCCAGCATGTGCAGTGGATTGGTCTGGTCTTCCCCACATCCCATTGGGATCTTGTATACATCACTGGGCGTTGAAACCTAACTCAACCCAACCAACTCCACCCTCCAACACACACTCGTGCCAGCAGGTATCATCACCTGTTCAGCTAGGTCAGCCCCTCAGTCCTGGTTCTCATGCTCACCGGTGGGAATTGTAGCCCATTGGGCAATATTGGTTTCTCAGAAGAAAAACTGAATTCAGAATTGTTAGTTACTCCTCAATCTATAGCCAAGCACAGCAGGCTAAGTCTTTGCCTAAGGTGCCAGCATAAGGGAATATGCACAGTAGCTACAGTCCTGGTGATTCTGCTTCCAAGCTACCTACTAACAATCTGAGAAGACAGTAGAAGATGGTCCAAATGCTTGGACCTCTGCACCCATGTGAAAGAAAGATCCAGAATAAGCTTCTGGCTCCTGGATTAGGACCGGCCCATTGCAGCCAATGTGGCCATTTAGAGAATGAACCAACAGATAGAAGATTCTCTATTCTTTCTCTCTATTCTGTCTCTCTCTCTCTCTTTCTTCTTCTTTTTCTTTTTGTAACCCCAACCTTTCAAATAAAAATAAATAAATCATTTTTAAAAACATAATTTAGGGGCTGCAGTGAAGTAGCAGGCAAATCCTCTGCCCTGTGGCGTCTCGTAGAGGTTCCAGTTTGAGATCTGTCTGTCTGCTCCACTTCTGATCCAGCTTTCTGTTTACGACTTGGGAAGACAGCAGAGGATGACCAAATTCTGTGGGACCCTGTAAACACAAGGGAGACCTGGAGGAGGCTCCTGGCTCTGGCTTCAGATCAGCTCAGCGCTGACTGCTATGGCCATTTGGGGAGTGAATCAGCTGATGGATGACCTCTCTTCTTGTCTCTCCAATCTTTGTAAAATTTGCCTTTCAAATAAAAATAAATATTTTTTTAAATAACATTTATAATCCATGATTTTTATATGAAATTCTTAAAATATTATCATCTCAGTTAATATTATAGAACATGTACTACATGCTCTATACTAGGCTAAGTTATTTTAATAATATGTCTCACTTCACTCATTTTTATTAATCCTTTAGCTTCAGAAACAAAAAAAACGTATTATCTTTTAGCTTCAGAAATAATTAAATACAAATGCAAAGAAATTACATGGATTTTCTAATCAATTAACAAATATTAATATAAAGTATTTTCTCTTTAATATAAAGCATTTTGTAAATGCTTTATTTATATAAAAATTTAAATGGATTTTTTCCTAACTACTTTAATTGCTCTCAATTAAATCCAATGGATATTTACTGAAAGGATTCATAAACGTAAGTAAATATTATAAACCTAATGAATGCTTCCTTTAAAGCATACAAATTTCTTAAGATATAAATTGCATTCTATATGAAAGCAAACAGATGAACATTTTTGGCTTTTTTCCTATTCACAGAGTGTGGGACAACTACGAAGTTCAGAGGGCAGCTTTCCTGTGACTGTTCTGTCCTTACTTTAGACACCAAGTGTAGGGAGTTCCCAGAGTCCTAACTAGAAGTCTCACAGAACTCAGAGAATTACATTTGGGGTTATGGTTCACTGTAGGGAAGGGATACAGGTTTAAATGAGCACATAGAATAGAGTTCAGAGTCTAGGAGAAATAAATTTGTGGAGCTTGTATTGTCCTCATCCCAGGACAGATCACTCCCCAACTATTGTATGACGAGACACTCAGAATACTAGCAACAAGTTCCGTGCTTAGGACTTTTGTAAAGTTTCATTACATAACTATCAATGACTACCCATAGGGTTCATTAGTCTCCTGGTTGTCATATACCGTGTGATTCAAAGCCCTCATCGTCTATACTGGCGATATCAGGATACACTTATATAGAAGAATTACAGACCTATGACTGCTTGTGAAGGACTATACTGTTGTAATAATATGGGGGAAATAAACTGAGGGAAGGGAACTTGGGGAGGGAGTAAAGGAAATCCCAGAGCCTATGGAGTTATACCATAAAATTAAAAATAAAATAGAAGGAAAAACAAAACAAAAACCAAATCCCTCATCTAAAGTCCCATTCTGGGCCTCTGAGAAGTGGCCAGGAACCACCTTAAGCCTATGGAATGTTTTCAGCTCCTCATCCCATATCACAGAGATAGCCCATGTAGTGTAACTCAGAATCCCCAGGCAAACAATGACACTCCCATTGGAGATCCTTCCCAGCTGCCAAGAGAAGAGGCTAGACCTTTTCTTTGAAAGATTCTTCTCTCTCACCTCTCCTGTACATCTATCATATTTGGTTTAGAAAACATCCAATTCTTTTTAAGTCATCCAGCATTGATGAAAAGTTTCCATCCCTCATCTTTGGTGCTCTTTAAAGAGGGTGCATTTCTCCCTTGTCCCCCAATACTTCACTCACGTGGCTTAAGAGGTCTAGAAGTGTTCATATTCTTCAACCCTACTACTGTCCCTTCCCACACCTTTGTTTTTCTCTTAGGAGAGATATACCACTGACCAGGTTCATGACAGCTGAGTCCCCACGTCTACTCATGAACATGAGGCACTCATGAACTGTAGAAAGTCTGAAGTTTTCACCCTGGTAATAGTTAAGGAGCCACAGGGGAAGCAGATTTACAATGAGAAAAAAGTCCAAGTCAAGAAGCAGAGGGCGACACCTAGGGGCACTTTACAGTTGCTGTTGTAAAGCTTTGCTGCAACAGTGATTCTTGGGTTCAATGAACCCATAAACGCTTCCTCTTTTGCTGCAACTATTTTGATTTGGTTTGGCATCCCAGATTCAATGTATGTTCACACACACACACACACTTAATTTTTGTTGTTGTGACAAAACACATGTAACACACAATGCAAAAGAA